AAAGATATTCCGGGAACCAAGGATTTTCTGCCTCAATGTGCGAGCGGCCGAGTAGCCCGAGATCTCTTTGGAATGGGGACCCGGGGGAGAGAGGAAAGGCCCCGAGACGGGACATGAACGATGGTTTCTCCGGAGTTTTACGAGAGTCCTGCAGGGGGGCCCCGGCCGGGCGCCGCGCTCTGGGGCGACTGCACAAGGCTGCTTTGTTCCCTCCCGTGTGTCCGTGTGCATGTTACTGTTTCGGTTTCATTTGTCAGCAAATGTCTGTTTACCCCGCTTCCTGTTATTAATGATGGGAAACGAGGTTTCTTGAACTGTATTAGACACTTTTTAAACTCTTGTCCAGATACTCCAGGGGCAGGTGCAGATGAATCCTTTATGTGTCTACAGAGCCGGAAACAGTTTAAAATACATTGTTGCCCCACAGAGCTTGCAACTTACCTCTCGCAGAAAAAAATAAAGAAGACAGAAACAATAAAAGAAAAAACCCCACACAAACAGCAACTTCTATTCCTGTTCCTAGACACGGAGATAACAGAGTTGGGGACTTTTCTTTTATCAATGAACATACCTCTGTATAAATTTTGAACTCTCTCTAGCCCCCCAAAACGTTTCAGAAATCAACTTAAACAGTAACAGTGCTGAAAGACAGTAAGATACACTCGAATACGAAGGTATCTCTGGAGAGGCCGAAACACTGCCCTGATTGTTGGTGTGTTGCGAAGCTTTTCCCATGGAAACATCTGGTCAACCCATCAGCTCTCCGCCTTCGAAAGAGCAGCGCATCTCCTCGCACGCATTAGAATCATAAAGGAGCCAGAGCATCTGGAAGTCTGAGAAGAAAAGCGAAATCGTTAGGGGTGGGGAGGGTAGAAAAAAAAATCCAGATTTAAAAATGCAGATGTTTGACCGGCCTGTCAGTCAGCCTACGAGGAAATAAGGGGCCGAAAGAACCAGAAGCCACTGGTGGAAAAAATGAAAAGAGCTGCCTGGGCCTCTGCCAAGCGGAGAGCAGCGGAGCCCGTAACATAAGACGGAGACGGGCTCTCGGCCCCGAGATCTGAAAAAGGGACCACGTGCGATTTGGCAAATTAGCCGCCTCCCAAAAAAAAAAAAAAAGTCTATTTCTTCAGGGCACAGTAAGAGCTGCTCAGACTCTCCCCTCTCTCTTTGGTCGTTAGCACGGGGCAGTATTGGGGGCTTGGCTTTCATGAGCGACAGGCTCCCCCTATTGTCTCCCCCCAGCCTCCGGGCCCCCGTTCTAAGACCCCCAAATACTGCTGAGTGGCCAAAAATCACAGACACAGCAGAGCTGAGGGAGGACGGGCGGCCAGCCCCTCCCCCGGTGCCTCGACAGTCCGAGCGCTGCCAGGACACGCCTCGGAGCAGCGCCCCAGACAAAGGCACAAAGATCCCATTTTTCTCCGGGAAAACAGATCTCGTGTGCAGAACACCAGCCAGAAGAATCGAAAGCTGACACGTGGGTGCGACGGGATGGAGGCAGGCAGGGCTGCGTGTTTCAAGAAGACTGAAATTGTACCCGATTTCACCCAATCCTAACAAATGTTGCTGAACCTAAACGTCTTTTCAGGCTGTAAAAAAGACATTCAGCGGTGAGATTTTTTTTTTTTTTTTTTTTTTTTTTTTTTAAAAAAAAAACAAAAAA